CAGGATATTTCATTTTTCTAGGAGAGGGGTGGGTTTTAACTTCCTACAGTAGGAAGGAGGGCAGAATTGGGTACAGATTGGTCAGTGATCAGGAATGATGAGAATTGTGTTCCAAAATCTGCAGAGTCACAGGCCAAGAACCTTATAATAACTGTGAGATCAGATCAACTTTCCTTGACTGACCAATCTGTGAGCTATTTTTCCAACCCGTTTTTCCAAGACGCCAACCCTTTTTCCAAGACACCAAGCTGGGGAAGGCTAGATTAGATAATATAACATAAGGAATTGCTTCTGGCAAAAAGAATAAATGGTTCACTTAGTTCTTCTGATCGCAAGAATTTAATGTATTTTAAACTATCACAAACGGTTAAATCCTGATATTTCTATCCTGGAGGAGAAATGAGAAAATCAATCTTTAAAAACATTTGAAGTGTTACAGATTATCTGCGTAGAAAATTCTATAAAATAGAGCTACACACTTTCAGTGCTGCTGGCAGAGAATAGCTCCATTGTACTATCAAAGCGTGACAAATTCTGGCAGATTTTCAGGATGCTTCCTTGAGCTTTTATGAAGTGATTGGCTACAATAATTTTTAAAAGAATGCAGCAGGAACAAGAAGAAAAAAGACAGAAAGAAAATAACTGTGGTTTTTTTGGGCACCCACAAATAATCCCCTTCTTCTTTGCTATTTTCTACATACTGTACATGTCTCCAATCACAACCAGAATCTTTCTGAAGTAGAGTTTAAGAAAAAATGGTGATCTTTGTGGTCATTAACTTCCTCAATATCCAGTCCAGAAGGACAGTCTTAGAAAACAAGATACCATTGGAGACTGCAAGCTTTGAAGGATCTTGGTTTGCAAGGGAAAGACTGGATATTTTTAAATACATGCAAAAACAACAAAGGAGTCCTAATCCCATCAAACTGGCCCCCTGTCCTTTCTATTCGTCTCCAAATAGCTTGGAAGTGATCCAAATAAGGAGGAGAAGTGAAGGGCTTAGCTTCTAATTATTTTTGTTCATGGCTATGTTAGGAATATAATTCTAACGGTTGGGTTGGCAATATATAAATCATGTAACAATGCTATACATGTTTCTTTAAATCATGCTGTAAAATGTGATTGGTTGCTGTTTTCCTCAGTCGGGCATAAGAGGGAGCCNTTAATGGGAGAGGCAGTTTCTATAAGCAGGGCAATAAGGATTAGGCTAGAAACAACATCAGAATGTTTCCTTCCTGCCTTCCTTGCAGGATTAGCCCTGTAAAGTGGAAAAAAACAAAGTGAGATTTCTTCCAACAACTGGTTCTCCGAACTGTTTAGAAAGTTAACAACAGGTTCTCCCAAATAGGTGCGAACTGGCTGAATCCCACCACTGCCACTACGAAAGAAAAGCATTAAAGGACATTAAGAGAAGTTTCAAGAAAGAGCTACTTTGTATTACCTTGTTTTGTTGGAGCAATGTAAGCACCAAGAATTATTTTTCTGTCCCAGGTCGCTGCTTTCTAGGAGCGTCGAAGAGCAGATCCCAACTTTGTAAGCTCCACAATCACTGACGGTGATTTCCCAGTAATGCCATCCTTGGGCAGGCAAGAGCTCACCCAACACTGGTGGGCTTCTGCACAAAGAGATGACAAAGAAAAGTAGCCTTGCCTTCCAAAACAACCATGCCAGCTCAAACATTAAGCAGGTCTCAAGTATCCTAGCTTTTCACCATAACCATCGCAGTATTTGGGGCGAGAAAGAACCCCTTTCCCCTTTCAAAACCAATGGAAAGATAAGAAATAAATGATGTCAAAGGGCTCTGGACACCTTTATGGAAACAGAATGGAAGAAAAACAAAACTGGAGAAGTCATCAAAAGAAAGATTGAGTTCAATAATGGGCCCAATCCAGAGCGGGAGTGGGGAGGGAAATCCAATTTAAATTCCCCAAATGCAAGTGGGCAAAAACTTGGTTTATTTGGTTTATTGATTCATAAATCTCTGTCCCTCCAGGTCATATGGCTTAGAGTGGAGAAAGTCTGTTTGGGCACACACAGATACACATGAGTGGAGAATAGAAATATACTAATGCAACACATGTGCACCCAGCTTAGACATACACACCTAGGCAACACATATCTCTCCATTCTGATTAGCCACTCTCTCACACATAGACAACAAATCTGCATGCACCCAGATACCATTAACACACCCAGGCAATATATATTCACATATCCCGAGTCATCTCTGGAGAGAAAGTCTGTATGGATGTAATATGTAACTTCATTACACAGAAGAAATGTGCAGACACTTCCTATGGCTACTATTGGTTTAGGGGTGGAAAAGAATTCCAGAGGCTTTCCCTAACATGGAACTTTCCATTCCCAAGCCAACAGAAAGTGGGAATTAAATAAATAAGGGGTCAGAACTGTGTCAAGAGGACAACTCTCCAAGAATAAACAAAATAAGACTGCATTTGACCTGCTAGGGAGATGCTGGCAGAAAAAGGTTGGGTTTGAAAATCCACTTCAGATTCCTCCAATTCATCTTTCTGGGAGAGTCAATTGGAAAATAATTTAGAATACATTTATTAGAATGAAAACTCCTTTCCTCCTAATTACTTGACCTCGAGTAGAGTATACGTAGTCCTCCAATGCTTCCGATGAGACATACACATACCTGAATGCATCATGTATTGGGAAACAGCAGAAAATGCACATGCAAATGCAACATGTTATTTCATCACACAGACAAAATAGAAACATCCTATGCTTGGTAAAGGGATTGGAAAGAATTCCAGAAGGCATGCCCTGCATTCTTCCTCTATCTTGTTTACTACTTGGGCTATGTAGAGAAAGGGTTACAGAGCTCTACACAGTGTAATAAATATGATCTTGATCAAGACCACAAGGAACCTGCTGTTTAAAGGACAAAAATAACCTGTGTAAAATTGAAATTCAAAGGGCCAGTTAGTGCTGTAGACTGGCTGGAGAGGGACCCAGAGTAACACACCAAGGCAGCAAAAGAAAAAATAAATCCAGAAATCATTTGGATATTTTGATGGATTTACATGCACCCAAACGGATGTTTTTCTATTGTCCTTTATTAGGCCTTCCTTAAATCCAAACTATTTGACAAAGAAAACTGCCCAGCAGTTCCTTAGGACTTTTAAAAGATGACAACATTGCTGTTTTTTTAAACTAACAAAGTGGAAAAAAGAAAAAAGAAAAGAAAAGAGGAAAGGAAAGAAAAGGAAAGGAACGGAAGAGAGAGGGAAGGAGGGAGGGAAGAAAGGAAGGAAGGAAGGAAGGAAGTCTGTTTTCTTTTTTTACGGTCTCTAATCCACATATCCTGTTGAAAATATCATCCAATAGAAAGAAAGAACATGAATCAGTAAAAACTTACCCAGTGAGATTCGCATCATCCGGAAGGGATATCATGGTTCCATTGGGTGATACTTGCAGTGCAGGATGAACAAGTTCTCTCATTATATGAAATCTTGTTCCTATTGTAATTCATAGGCAAAAAATAAACACCATTTCATGAATGAGGGAAATGGCTCATCAGGTTATATTAGAACTATAGAAATCACTATTTAAAACTATAGAAATCACTATTGCAGAAACAATATTGTGTGAGATAGGTAGGCCTTCTCATTTTTTTCAATTAAGCATTGAGAAATAAGGGTCTTAAAAGCCAACTCTAATACACAATAGCAATAACATTTAGACTTATATATTGCTTTACAGTGTTTTACAAGCCCTCTCCAAGCAGTTTATAGGGTCAACATATTGCCCCCAAGAATCTGGGTCCTCATTTTACAGACCTTGGAAGGATGGAAGGCTAAGTCAACCTTGAACCTGGTGAGATTCAAACTGCAAATTGAAGGCAGCCAACAGTCAGCAGAAGTATCCTGCAGTACTGCATTCTAACCACTGCGCCACCACAACTATTTCTGATTTTTTTATTCAATTCAGTGGAAAAATCACATTTTCCCAGACTAAGAATTGATCTGAACTTAGAAACTTAGATTCATTCTACTAACCATCAAACCATTAAAACATTATGCTCAATGGCAGAGCTCACCCCTTCTGCATTAAAGAGCAAAGGAAAAGGATCATGATAAATTTGATCTATTTTCCTATCCTACATGAGAAAGGCACCCAAAAAATGATTCACAAGAATCACAAGTGCATCCTTTTCCATCTGCATCTTAGCCCAATTTGCAAAGCTTATGTGCACAATTTTCCAGATTTTTTTTAAATGTAAACTTGTACATTGCTATCTCAATGTAATATTATTTTTACAGTATATAAATTTCCCAATCAGGCTTTTTACATGTAAACGTACACAAAGTACACTTTTTAAAAAAGTAAATATTAAGCCTGGGGAAGTTGAAAAAGCATCTCAAAGGAGGGATAATAACCAGATCCTTCTCCACGCCCATGAAGTTATCAGGAGTTCAGTTCAGCTAAAAGGAGACCTTACCTTTTCTCTCTTCTATGCTTCCTTTCAAAATACAAATATTCTCATTATCAATTTGTTTTTTCATATAAATCATAAATAGTTATTCCCCTCAAATGCACTTATTCATTACACATTGACTTTGGTCCAGAGAAAGATTGACAACTGGAGTTTCTACTAAGGAAGGAACTGCATTTTAACTCAGATACCTCTTTGGAGAATCTCACAAAACATCTGCCACAGACATTTATGAGGAGCACACCTATTTCCAGGAGTGGGCTGCTGGGGGGTTCACAGGGGTTTGGGACAGAGGTGGGCTCCGGCTTCTGTTATTACCGGTTCGCTCAGGGACATGCTTCGTATGCGTAGTAGTAAAAAACAAAATGGCGCCACCATAGGGGCCACCGATAGAACCGGTTCGGGGGCATGGCCAGTTGAATTACTACCTACTCAGATAAAACTGTCCGAACCGGTAGGAACCCACCTCTGGTTCAGCAGAACCTCTATCTAAGATTCTGTGCAGTTCAGAGAACTCCCAAATCCCACTCCTGGCTGGCCCCGCCCACCCCACCACGCCATTCCTCTCCTAGGAGTGCCCATGTAGCCTGTTTTGGATGCAGATAAGTGCAGGATGAGTGCAGAAGCTTGGGGAGAGCAAAAAATGGCTCTACCGGAAGTTCGGGAAGGCTGGAAATGGGCCCATTTCTGGCCTCCAGAGGGCCTCCGGAGCCTGGGGAGGCCATTTTCGCCCTCCTGGAGGCTTGAGGAAAGCCTTTGGAGCCTGGGCAGGCAAAAATGCCGCACCCCCTCACCCCTGGGGTGCAGAAGGCCAATTAGGCCACGCCGACCATGGCCACGACCAGCCAGTACCCAAGCAGATAATCCCTTGCTAAAATTTTTGAAGCCACCCTTGCCTATTTCTAGAAACAAGATCTTTTTTAATGACAAATGACTTGTGTATAAAGAATCCTAATGCTACAGAAATAGAGGAAAACCAGATGGGACCATAGTTGTGGGTAACAAAGGAAATAAAACCAAGATTGATTTAAGAATGTTAGTTAAAAGCTGATGAACCCAGATCTGTCAATATATATTTTTCTCATTTTACCATTAAACATTCTTACAATCTCTGAAAGCACAGCCAATTGAATCAGTGACCATTAACCTATTTGCATCCAAAACAAAGTATCTGGAAAGAAACCATTATAGTATTCACTTCACTCTCAACTCATATAGAATATAAGTTTGATTTTCTTTTGATAAGTGTCAGGAAAAACAGCATCCAGAAAGACAATTATTCCAATCTTTTGCAGAGCCACAACCTTCAAACACTATTTATGCTCCCAATACAATGAAATGACCCATCATAAACTTCCTTCTGCTCATATAGCTATTGTGCACATTACAATTAAGCCAAAGAGTCAAGGTTAAACGTTAAAACCAATGCTGCCTTGTATACTCTAGCCTTCAATTGTTCTCCAGATATATTTTTTTTGCCCAAATTCTTTTTTGTATTCTAAATATAGGGAAGATAGTATACTTTTATACATTTTATCCATTTGCTATCAAATGTACCTTATGGACCAGCCATTTATCACTTCTTTGTATTTCTACACATTACTAAATGCAAACCCCCTATCAGACTTTGCATCAAATATTCCATCAAGTGGAAGATAGCACTTAGACATATACTGCTGCATAGTGCTTTATAGCCCTCTCTAAACAGTTTGCAGAGTCAGCATATTGCCCCAACAATCTGGGTCCTCATTTTACTGACCACAAAAGGATGAGAAGGATGAGTTAACCTTGAGACAGTCAGCATCGAACTCCAGGTTATGGGCAGGGTTTGTTTGTTTGTTTGTTTGTTTGTTTGTAGTTTATTTATAGGCCGCCCTTTTCCCTGAGGGGACTTAGGGCGGCTTACAATCAAAAAAGGAAGGGGAGTGTAGGACAATACAAAAAAAGAAA